GATTTACCATGACCATGTGGGATTCATCCCAAGGATGCAATGCTGGTACAACATTCGCAAACCAATAAACGTGATACACCACATAAATAAAATGAAGAATAAAAACATGATCATACTTATTGATGCCAAAAAAGCCTTCAAAAAAATCCAGCATCAATTTCGGATAAAAACGCTCAGCAATGTGGGAATAGAGGGATCATATCTCAACATAATAAAGGCCATATATGAAAGACTGACACCCAACATCATACTCAATGGGCAAAAACTAAAAACATTATCCTTAAGAACAGGAACAAGGCAAGGATGCCCACTTTTGCCACTCTTTTTTAACATAGTACTGAAAGTCTTAGCTACAGCAATCAGACAAGAAGAGAAAATAAAAGGGATCCAAACTGGAAAGGAGGAAGTGAAACTGTCATTATTCGCAAATGACATGATACTATACGCAGAAAACCCCAAAGACTCCATGAAAAATGTACTAGACTTAATAAATGAATTTGGAAAAGTAGCAGGACACAAATTTAATGTCAAGAAATCAACGGCATTCTTACACACCAATGATGAACTCACAGAAAGAGAAACTAAGAAACAATCCGATTTACCATAGCAGAAAAAAATAAAAAATAAAAAAATAAGACACCTAGGAATAAACTTAACCAAAGAAATACAGGACCTATTCGCAGAAAACTACAAGTCATTGAAAAAAGAAATAGCGGAAAATATTAAAAAATACAAGCACATACCCTGTTCAATGATTGGAAGAATTAACATCATTAAAATGTACATACTACCCAAAGCAATTTATAGACTGAATGCAATCCCCATTAAAATACCAATGGCATCCTTCACAGAATTAGAACAAATATTTCAAAAGTTCATATGGAACCAAAAAAGACCCTGAATAGCCACAGCAATCTTGAAAAATAAGAACAAAGTTGGAGGGATCACATTGCCAGATTTCAAGTTATACTACAAAGCCACTGTAACCAAAACAGCCTGATACTGGCAGAAGAACAGGCACATAGACCAGTGGAACTGAACAGAGAACCCAGAAATGGACCCAAGGCAATATGCTCAAATAAAATTTGACAAAGGGGGCAAGAGCATACAGTGGAATACGGACAGCTTCTTTAATAAATGGTGTTGGGAAATTTGGACAGCTACATGAAAATAAATGAAACTAGGCCATCAACTTACACCTTACATGAGAATAAACTCAAAATGGATAAAAGACTTAAATGTGACTTATGGATCCCTAAATATCCTAGAAGAAACTGTAGGCAACAAAACTTCAGACATCATATGCAGCAGAACTATTTACAATAGCTAAGATCTGGAAACAGCCTAAATGTCCATTAGCAGATGAATGGATTAAAAAGCTGTGGTACATATACACAATAGAGTACTATGCAGCTGTATGAAAGAAAGATTTCTTATCTTTTGAGACTACATGGAAGGACCTGGAAAATACCATCCTAAGTGAAACAAGCCAAACACAGAAAGACAAGTATCATATGATCTCACTTATTTGTGGAATATAATGAACATAACAGCCCGAGGAATGAGGTAGTCCCAGAGACGTGGAAGTGGGGTACAGACTGACAATCCCCAGAAGAGGGGGTGGTGAGGGAGAAATAAACCACAGAACTTATATCCATGTATGCATGAACAATGGATATGGACTACAAAGCTGGGGACAGGGTAGGGAGGGGGGAGGGAGGATTCAGTGGGGGGAAAAGGAGAAACATATGTAACAAAAAATAATTAATGAAAAAATATATATTAAAAAAATTAATAAGAAAAAGAAAAGAATGACATATCAGAAATAAAAAACACATTGGAAGAAGAGCAGAGTAGAGGAACCTGAGGACTGGATAAGTGAATTAGAATACAGGGTAGAAAAAATCAACCAATCAGAAAACCAAAAGAAAAAAAAAAACAATTTAATAATGGGAGGACAGCTTAAGAGAACTATGGAATAACCAGACACGTAATAATATTCGCATCATAGGAGTCCCCAAAGAAAAAGAAAATGAGCAAGGGTTAGAGAATATATTCAAAAAAATAGTGACAGAAAACTTCCCTAATTTGGTGAAGGAAAAAGGCATTCAAGTTCAAGAAGCACAGAGAGCACCAAGTAAGAAGAACCCAAACAGGCCCACACAAAGACACATAGTAATCAAAGTGCCAAGAATTCAAGACAAAGAGAAAATCCTAAAAGCAGCATGAGAGAAGCAACAGGTTACCTACAAAGAAAACCCAATAAGACTCTCAGCTGATTTCTCACAAGGAACACTACAGGCCAGAAGAGAATGGCAAAAAGTATTCAAGGTCATGAAAAACAAGAATCTGAATCCAAGACCACTCTACCCAGCAAGGCGGTCATTCATAATAGAAAATAAAAAAAAGAACTTCCCAGACAAAAAAAAAAAAGGTAAGGGAATATATTAACACCAAACCAACACTGCAAGAAATGTTGAAAGGACTGCTGTAAGTAGAAGAAATAGAAAGAAAAATATGAGCAAACTAAACAAAAATGGCAATAAATAAGTATATATCAATAATCACCTTAAATTTAAATGGACTGAATGCTCCAATAAAAAGGCACAGAGTAGCTAATTAGATAAGAAAGCATTACTCATCTATATGTTGTTTACAAGAGACCCACCTCACAACAAAAGACTCAAATAGGTTGAAAGTGAATACATAGAAAAAAATTTTTCCAAGCAAATGGAAAGCAAATAAAACCTGGGGTAACAATACTCATATCTGATCAAATAGATTTTGAAATGAAGGCCATAATTAGAGACAAAGAAGGCCACTACATAATATTGAAAGGATGTATTGGACAGGAAGATATAACCTTGATAAACATATATGCACCCAATATAGGAGCACCAAAATATATTAAAAATCTTCTGGAGGACTTCAAAGGAGAAATCGACAGATATACAATTATAGCACGGGACTTCAACACCTCGTTGACACCACTGGATAGATCCTCTAGACAAAAAATTAGCAACAAAACAGACTATAAATGAAACACTAAACCAAATGGATTTAATAAATATCTACAGAGAATTACACCCCAAAACTACTGAAATCACATTCTTCTCAAGTGCACATTGGACATTCTCAAAGATAGACCACATGATAGGACACAAAATAAATCTCTACAATTTCAAGAACACTGAAATCATATTAAGCATCTTCTCAGATCACACTGGCATGAATCCAGAAATCAGTTGCAACAAAAACATACAAAGACATTTGAACACATGGAGGCTAAATAGCATGTTATTAAACAATGAATAGGTTACCAAGGTGATCAAGGAAGAAATAAAAAACTTCCTGGAAACCAATAAAAATGAAAACACAACAACACAAATTCTATGTGATGCAGCAAAAGCAGTTCTGAGAGGGAAATTCATAGCACCACAGGCCTACTTCAAGAAACAAGAAAAATTTCTAATTGACTATCTAACCTCATAACGCAAAGAAATAGAAAGCAAACAAACAAACAAAACCCAGAGCAAGAAAATAGTAAAGATCAGAGCAAAAATAAGTGACATAGAGTCCAAAAAAATAATTCAAAGGATCAATGAAAAAAAGAGCTGGTTTTTCAAAAAGATAAACAAGGTTGATGGACCCTTAGCTAGACTCACTGAGTAACAAAGAGCGAGAACCCAATTACACAAAATCAGAAATGAAAGAGGAGAAGTAACAACTGATGACATAGAAATACAAAAGGTTGTTAACAGCTACTATGAACAATTATATGGCAACAAATTCGACAATCTAAGCAAAATGGACAAATTTCTAGAAAGACTCAAAAGCTTCTGCACTGCAAAAGAAACAACCATCAAAATGAAAAGGCAACCCACTGTATGGGAGAACATCATTGCCAATGAGATGAGGGGTTAATTTCTAAAATATGTAAAGTACTCATACAACTCAACAAAAGAAAGACAAAGAACCCAATTAAAAAATGGGCAGAGGAGCTGAATAGACACCTCTCCAGCCAGGACATACAGATGGCCAAGAGACATATGAAGAAATGCTCAACATCACTAATCATCAGAGAGATGCAAATTAAAACAACAATGAGGTATCTCCTCACACCTGTCAGAATGGCCGCCATCAACTAGTCATCAAACTACAAGTGTTGGTGAGGGTGTGGAGAAAAGGGGACTCTAGTACACTGCTGGTGGGAATGCATAGTGGTGCAGCTGCTATGGAAAACAATATGGTGTTACCTCAAAAAATTAAAAATTGAACTTCCATTTGACCCAGTGATCCTGCTTTTAGGATATATCCTGAGAATCCTGAAACACCAATCAGAAAGAATATATGTACCCGTATGTTCATAGCAGCACTATTTACAATAGCTAAGATCTGGAAACAGCTCAAGTGTCCATCAGTAGACGAATGGATCAAAAAGCAGTGGTACATATACACAATGGAGTGCTATGCAGCTGTAAGAAAGAAAGATCTCTTATCCTTTGAGAGGACATGGAGGGACCTGTAAAGTATTATCCTAAGTGAAACAAGTCAAGAAAGAGACAAATACCACATGATCTCACTTATTTGTGGAATATAATTAACATAAGAGTCTGAGGAATAGGGTAGACCCAAAAACATGGAAGTAGGGTACAGACTGACAACCTTCAGAAAAGGGGGTGGTAGGGGTGGGAAGAGATAAACCACAGAACTTATATGCATGTATGCATAACCAATGAACATGGACAACTAAGCCGGGGATGGCATGGGGGTGTTGGGGAAAGAAATTATAAATAAATAAATAGTCCATTTTTTATAACATGTAGCCTTAATTAAGAATATCAATATTTGCTTGATAGCCAGCTCAATAGTATGACTCCAAAATTTAGAAAATCTGTGTTGTAATTTAATAATTGTTACTTTAAATTATAGAAAATTACAGAAATTAATGCCCTCTACAGAGGTTATTAACACTGATGGTTAATTGAGTGGAAACTTACGTGACTCAGTTGCAGAAACATCTATAAGTTCTTCAGCTGAGTGTGTTCTTATAAATTCTGAAATAATAGTGAAATTGTTATATTTTTCAAAGATCAATCTTATGTATCCATTGAGTTTAAGTGTTATAGCTTTTCATTTTAATGACTCATTCAAGAGAAAAAATTCTAAGAAAAACTAGAGCTGCCAACATGTAGATCCTCCCAATTGGGTAACAATGGTAATAGCTGAAAGAATATGTTTAAAAATTGATTGATGTGAATTTATCATTTTTACATCAAAACTTGGTTTTCCTCTCATATTCTCTTAGTTAATGTTAGCATCATCTACTAACCCTTCCTTTCATATTAAAACATCAAGTTTTGCCAGCTTTACCAGGTACATATTTCTCAAATCCTTTACTTGTACTCTAATATAGGCACTTACTCCACATCTAGATAGAACAATAACTTCTCTTTCCTACCTCCATACCTCAAATCTATCCTCTACAATGTGGCTAAAATAATCTCTAAAATTAAATAAACAGTGTCACTTCTTTACAAAAAAAATCTTCAGTGATTCTCTATTTTATTAAATAAATAAATAGTTCCTTAGCACAGCATTCAATCCCTCTAACTAGGCTCTTTCCTAACTTTTCCCTACTTATTTCTTTACAGTCTAATATATTCCAGTTGTAATTCCCTGTTCATGCTGTTTGTTCATACTGTATCTTCTTTTTAAAATACCAGATATCTCCCTTCTTTAATTAACTAAGTCCTATTCATGTTTTTAAGTTTCCATAAAATCTTCCTAACTCTCTCAAATTGAACAAATGGGCTCCTTTCTGTAGACTTACTGCAAATTACATAATTATCATGCATTACACTATGAAAAATTATATATTATGTGCTTGTGCCCTTAGTAAGTTGGAAATTTTATGGGAAGAACAACAAAACTTTATTCATTTTATATACTTCTAGAATCTGAAATATAATAAGAAAGTTTATTAGAACTATCAAACTCTACTTTTTTTTCAAACTCACTAATATCTTTTTAACTTACCTTATTGAGGTGACATTAGTTAATAAAATTTTACAGGTTTCAAATGCATAATTCTATGATACATCATCTGTATATTGCACTCACTGTTTACCACCCAAAGTCAAATCTACATCGGTCACCATATATTTGACCCCCTTTACCCTTTACTACCTCCCCCACTTTCCCTCTAGTAACATCTTTTGAAATTTACTATTGTATAATTTTATGGCTATAAGCTTTTAAACTTTAACTCTCAAAATATTATTGTACTTAGGCAACCTCATAAAGGCAAACATATGAAATATCACCTTCAATTTTCTGCTGTACATTTTCATAACTTTGCACTGCTTCTGATGAATATTCACTATTCCTGTTAAAATGTCAATAAATAAAACATATTATTAAAGAATACATTTCTTATGTAGGAACTATAATATACACTCTCTAGACATTTACAGTTTGTAAAATAAAATTTAACATGTTTTTTAACTTTTACTCACAGACAATAAAATCAATTATTAGCAAACAAATAAGTATAAAAGTCAAACTATGTAATTCTATAAATTCTATATATTCTTTTAATACAATTAGGTACACCAACAACCCTAATAGCAAAAATACCAAAAGTAAATTGTGTAGAAGCATGAGAATGTTTTTTACCAATGTATTATTAATGCTTTTGCATTAAGAGCATAAGTTCTAGAGTCAGAATACTTGGCTCAAAACCTGTTTTACCCACTTATTAATTATGTGACCTTGGGTACTTAAGTTACTTAACCTCTCTGAGTTTTAGTTTCTTCATCTATTAAGACTAAGGTACTAGAATATCTATTGTATAAAACACTTATAAGGATCAAAGGATACATGTAAAGTTATGAGAAAAATACCTAGCACACATCAAACAACTAAATTTCAAGTATTAATATTAACGTGATTAGAAACTAATTTCATGCCTCATAATAGATAGCTCAAGGGAATATATCTGAACCTCTGAACCAAGGATCTATTATGCAATCCCCTTTGGAGCCAACTCATGTACCACTCTATTCATCCTTTTAAGTCTAGTCATTGACAGATGAAGCTATCAATAAAATTATTGCATAATAAATAGTAGCCCCTCCCAATTAAACTTTCTGTTTTAACACTATAAAATTAAAAGAATTAGTTTATGTTTAATGCAAAAAAGTTTATAAATGTAAATTTTTACTTAGATAAGTTACTATACCAGATGTGTTTAAAGGTAACAGAATAATAGAGGAACAAATGAAAGATATTCCATGTTTATGGAATGAAATAATTAACATTGTTAAAATGTCCAAACTATCCAAAGTGATCTACAGGTTCAATGTAATCCCTATCATAATTCCAATGGCACTTTTCACAGAAACAGAATGCAGGCTAGTGCAGCCGCTGTAGAAAACAGTAAGGAGTTTCCTCAAAAAAATTAAAAATTGAACTGCCTTTTGACCCAGTGATCCCACTTCTGGAAATATATATATATGTATACTAAGAATCCTGAAACACTAATTCAAAAAATATATGTACTCTTATGTTCATTGCAATGTTATTTGCAATAGCCAAGATATGGAAACAGCCCAAGTGCCCATTAAGAGATGAGTGAATTAAAAAGCTGTGGTACATTTCCACAATGGAATACTAGTGGCTGTAAAAAAGAAAAAAAAAGCTTACATTTTGCAACAGCATAGATGAACCTGGAGACTATTACATTAAGTGAAATAACCCAGTCAGAGAAAGACAAATACCATTTGATCTCACTTATATGTGTAATCTAGTGAAAAAATAAATTGATGGATCTTGTGCAGAGGAGAGGGGGCAAGATGGCTGAAGCCTAAAGAAGTCCTGTCCACTTTCTCCAAACACAGGACTGGACCTGAGGCTAAACTGTAGAGCATTTAACTCAAAAAACCACCTGACAACAGGTGACTGGAAATACTGGGAGCAAGGAATCCATGGAGAGGAGAGAGGAGGAGACAATGAAGTAGGTGAGTGAACTTGTACAGCTGGGTGGCAAAGGATGGTTTGGAAGAGGGAGGGAAAATCCAGCAGTGCAGCTCCAGCCCCCTGGGAAAGGGAGAACTCAGCACCACGTAGAGATCCCCAAAGGACAGCAACAAAGAATGGAAAGGGAACCCATTGTGGTGTCTAGTGTAAAAGCCCCATTTCTCCTCACCTTCAAGGAAGAGGAGGCACCCCTCCCCCACCTGGGTAAAACTTGGAGCTGAAGATTGGCACCCCAGCCACAGTGCCTGACACACTGGGGAGTCGAACATCTGGCCAGGAGGCAGCCTGAATAGAACCCCTGCCCTGTGGAACAGCATAGGGCAGGAAATCTGCACCCCAGCAGCAAGGACTGTGGCCTTCGGGATTTGAATGTCTGACTAGGTGGGATCCTGGGTAGTAGTTCCACCCAGTGCAAGCTGGCCTTGCTGAAAGACTACAGAGCGAAGCAGGACATTCTTTTTCCTTTCTTTTCATTACCCTTTTATTTTATTTTTTCTATTCTCACCTACTTGAGGTGGAGCACCAGCAACCCAGGCAGAACTGAAGCATTGGAAGGAGAAGAGACTGCCTACCTCTTCTACAAGCTACAGTCACCACCCCCAATATGAATTTAAGTAAACCACCCTGACTGGACCTGATACCCCAAAGAGCCCAGTGCCATGGGGAAAGGGAAAGCAGTATATGTATATATACATATATATATACATATATATATATATGTGTGTGTGTGTGTATATATATATATATATATATATATATATATGTATATGTGTATATATATATCTATGTGGCTAGTGCCCTGAAGGTGACCCAGCCTCTGGACTAGGGAAGCCCAGCTCATAGGACTACCTGGGACCACACCCTGCAGAGCTCCAGCCATGAGGCCAAGGACCAGGCAGGGACAGTGGTTCACATTAACCTACACCAGAGAACTACCCAAGAGGACCAAGAGGACAGGGACTCACACCCAAGGGGCCAGATCCAACTACAACAGAGAAAAATTCAGTGAGCTCCATAAAGAGCAGACCCAAGGTCGTTGTGGTTTTTTTTTGTTTTTCTTCTGTTATTGTTGTGGTGGTTTTAGTGTGTGGGTTTTGTTTTTTTGTTTTTTTAACTCTATTTTTTTCTCTTTTTTTCATTTCCCATTTTCTACTTTCCTATTCTATATTTTATTCAAAATAGCATTACTACCTTCTAAAAGCACTATTATTTCATTTATTATTTTCTACCTTTTATTTTTCATACTTAACCTTATTTCTGGTCTCTGCCTTCTCTGCTTTTATATTCTTATTTTTGTTTTGTTTATTCCCCTCTCTTAACTCTTTTGGTCCCATGCTTTCTACTATTCTATTTGTGTGTGTGTGTGTGTGTGTGTGTGTGTGTGTGTGTGTGTGTTTTCTGGTTGTTTGTCTTTTAAACTTTTCATTGAAGTGGGTGCTTCTACCACTGTAAATGCTGATATCTGTTCAAGGTGCCCTTTGGTTTGGTCTGCTATTGCTTTGCCTTATTTACATTCATACACTTTTTTTTTTTACCACCCCTTTTAATTTGTTCAGTCTCATGCTTTCTAATATTGTTCACTGTGTGGTTGTGGGTGTAAGAAAGTGTGTTTTCAGTTTGTCTTTTAATCATATCGCTGAGCCTGGGATTTGTATCACTGTTCAAGCTGATGGGTGTTTTAGGGTTTTTTTGGGGGGGTAGGGTCTGGTTGTGCATTGTCTTTTTTTACTTTCATTTTATTTTAATTTGCTTTTTTCCCCCTTTTTTTCTTTCTCCCTCATCTAATTCTTTTGCTTTAGCACCTCCTAGTATTCTTTGTGTGGGTGTATTTATTGTCTGTGTGTCTTCTAATCTTTTTGTTAAGTGGTTGCTTCTATTATTGTTGAGGCGGATATTTGGGGGGATTCTTTTTGGTTTAGTCTGGTTTCTTTATTTTGTTCTGTCAATACCTATAGAATGGTTGACATGACACGGTGAATAGGCCCAGGGTTGAGACTCATAGTTAACAACCCCAAAGAAAGAGCAAACCCACAAATGGATAACAGCAATCAAGACTGAAATTCAACAGGAGAGCCCATATAACCCACACAAGGGTCTATCCTAGAGCAACCAGCTCAGAAAATAAAGGAGACTGCTACATTGGGTGCCACAAGAAGACCATCACACCAAGACTGGGAGCCATACCAGTCTTATCTGATATACATCAACCTCCCTCTGGGGCCCAACATGCCTCAACTGGCTCCAACGGCCTGACTAATAAAATGGTGAGACACTGAGTCAGGCCCCAAACTTCAAGAAGACTTATGCTCTTCTGTTCTAGGACTGAGCCCTATATCTCTTCATCTGGCTGTTGATTCTAAAATGGCGGCAGAATGAATGGAAGCTACACAGACCATCTCCCAAGAGGAAGCAGAAATTACAACTAAAATTAAGACAAATCATCAGAAAAAAACAACCAAAAGGCAGTTGGAGGGAACTGGTATAACCAAGGATGGAAAGAGAACACCAAATTGAGCCTGGTAGGAACTATGGAGGAGTGAGAAGGTGGGCTGGGCCCAGGGACAGTAGCTATTTTAGCTGTGAGAAGCTCCCTCAGGGTTAAAATCCTGCACAGCAAAAGAAACAACCATCAAAATGGAAAGGGAAAGAGAAGGAAGATGGCGACGGGCAGGACCGGAGCATGGGTGAGTGTGTGAGACTGTGAGAGAGTGCGAGAGAGAGTGTGAGTGAATGTAAGCATGGAAGACCAACCTTGAGCAGTGCAGAGACATGAAGCAGAAGGTTCCTGTGCTGTGGACGGAAAGCAGAAGGCTAGTGATAAGCAGCAAGACAGCAAACTTTCCTCAGCACGGCCGGGAGGCCCTGCCATTTTGGAGGATCCCGGGTCTTCCCTGGGGGGCGAAAATGGGAAATGGCTGGGGCCCAGCCACCTGAGTCCACTGGAGTGCCCTGCACCATCTGTCCAGTGAACTCAGCTGTTTTGGCACGGTCAGCACACAGCAGGTGCCTTGCAGCAGTAGCTGAAACCAGAAACCAGCCCGGAGCCAGAGCCCTACCCCCAACAGCAGCAGCTGCTTGCTCAGGCCTGTGGCAGAGGCTGCGCTGCAGCCGGAAGGCTCCAGGCCCACTGCGGCCACAGGCTCCAGATTCCAGGCCCGCAGCAGCCTGCACCCAGCCTGGACCTAGGCCCGCAGTGGTGGGTGGGCCAGCCCAGGCTCCAGGCCACAGGCCCCCAGCTGCGAGCAGGCCAGCCCAGGCCCTAGGCTCCAGGCCTATAGCAGCATATCAGCAAAGACTGATCAAGAGCAGTACCCCAGACCAAGCAGCAGGGCTAGGGCATCTGAGCCC